TGGGTTCGGGAAAGTTCTACGATGTTGTTGAGGTGGGCTCAAAACAAGAGGAGGGAGGAGAGTAGAAGGAAGCTAGAGGAGGAAGAGGAAGGAAGGAAGGGTACAAGGTTTTGGGAAAGAAGCCACAGATTAGGGTTTTAGGGTACAATTGGGGTATTGTACTCAAGGGGGGAGGGAGGGAGGAAGAAGAGACAGAGGTAGGAAGTATTTGTTTCCTACTACTACTGCTCCCTTCTTCTTCTTTTTCCTTTTGCGTTCCTTTTTTCTGTTCTTTTTCTTTTTGCTCTTCTCCTTCCCACCAATCATGTTAGCACAGGCCCCCATCACAAAGGACATCCTCATTCATGGGGCACCATTCTGAGATGTGATTGTTCCAACACCAACAGCCACTCTCCCTCCTCTCCCCATAATTCCCATTCCCTTTTGCAGATTCTATACAAAATTAGGTCTACTTTTAGTGTATATATATATATATATATATGTAAAGAAGGAAAATAATCATATGAAAGGAAACACAGCTAAATGTCATGTTTGTTTGTGTGGGGGTAGTTCATATGCAAAATTTCAACAAATCAAATATTTCTAGGTGACTCAGCAATGTTTCCATCCCTCACAGTGGGTTAAAAATCATTTGCTTGCCCTCTCTTTTCCCCTCAACTCCTTCTCCTTCTTCTTATATAGATACAAATGTTAGAAAGGGTACAAAGAATGATGAGAGAGGAGATTTTCTATGATGATCTCTGGAGGAAATGGGTACTTGGAGGGAGAGGAAGAGACCACCACCATGGTTGGATGGATGCAACAGGAATGAATGAATGGTGCAGGGTGGATAGATGGATGAATAAATAGATGGGAGGTGGGGGGGGGGGTGCAGTGTGTTATGAGGTGTCCTGAAGGAGGGGCAGTGTCAATTGAATAACAATCATAGAGATTGAAATGAAGAGGGCCTTAATCTGAATGATCAACCCATGTACCTGCCTGTTGGAAGTGGGTTCAAAGGGGCCTCTTTCCCTTCTTTTGCTCCCCCCCCTCTAGTGGGGTTTTAATGGTAATGAGCAGCTAAGCTGGTCAACATCGACAGTGGAGCCCAAAGCACCAGCAAAAACACACACACACACACACACATGTAAATATAAATATATTTATTTATATATATACTTAAATAACATTAATTATTTAATCCCTCAACACACACATCTCCCCCCCCCCTTCCTGTCTCCAAACTTTCACTTGGCACCAATCTTAATCTCACACTTGCTCTTTCTCTTCTTAGCCTTCATAACTTGGGTGAGAAGGAGAGAAAGAGGGGATTTGATTCTTCCAACTGTGTGCATGTGGATGTGAGTGTTGTTGATTTTTTGTTTATTTTTTATATTATTTTTGTGTTTGTGTTTGTTTTTGGATGGAAGGTACCAAGTTTGTTTCACAAATAAAGTTGTCTGTAGAAAAGGACTGTGATATTCAAAGCTTGAGTCTCATGGGGAGGAGGAGATGCCATTGTTGTTTAAGTTTTGTTTTGTTTTTATTTTTTATTATTTTTTTGTGTTGAGGGATAATGAATGCCATGCAAATTTGTTACCTACCTTTTTTTTGTTTTTCTTTTTTTCTTTCTTTCATTTGTTCTTCCTTGTAGAGTGAATGCTACAAATGTTGCTTCTATGTCCTTCCTTCTCTTTGCCATGGTAAAGAAAGGCATGTTTCAATTATTCCCATCATGAATCAATACACTCTTTCAATCTAAGTTTAAGCATTTTTCTTGGGTTTATTCAAAATGTTTCTTTAACAAGTTCAAATTCAAAAAAGTCATTTTTGGGTCTTTAGCTTTTTCCTTGTCTTTGGTTAAACCCTATTTTGGAATGTTGAAATTATAATTTAATCTTATTTATTTATTTTTCATTTCTATTCAGGTTTTCAAATGAAAAGCTCATGTATAGCTGGAACTTCACACTACAACAGTTTCTACTTTCAATCATTCAAAAATATGGTGGATCCTTGTTCATAACTTACATGTTCAAAAAAAATACTTTTCAACTTTTAAGGAGTTGAGGTTGGACCATCTTTATTTTTTCACACATAAAAAGTATTAAAATTCAATATCAATTGAGTTTAGATGAATTCTTTAGGGGGTTTTAATCATGGCACTTTTGCAAAACCAAATAGCTGTGATTTAGCAACTCATATTTCTATTATCACTTGAAATATCAAATGCAAAATATCACCATTCAAACGTTAATATCTCATAATATTATTACTTGATTCAAGTATGGAGTCAACTCAGTTTTTGATCTTTGATCTGCTCCTCTTTAGATATTTTGAATTCAAAATCACCCACCTTGCAAGGTGGGTTATTTGGTGAAGTATCAAGTGATATTTCAAAACCAATAGCAACAAAATGGTTTGACTATCTTGTACACTAATGGAGAAATATTTTTACTTCTATGAAATACCTATTTCTCTTAAATTTACATTTTATTTTGTTCTTAATAATTTTGTAAAAGATTAAAATTACTTAAATACTTATTTCTCAGATGTAGATATTTTTTCTAAACCTGATTTTGGTATGTAATGACCTTAAACTACACAAGATGGCAAATCACATTTGAAAAAATTGAAATTTGCACCAAAATAGATTGTTGATTTAATTATTCAAATTGATTGTTGATTTTATTTCTCAACTACAAAATCTCCACCTTGGTAGATGCAAACTGGTGTGAGAAGCCTGCACCTATGATTTGGTTCTCAGCCCTTTTAAATCGAAGCCTGCAATCAAAATTTAACTGTCATAACTGCTAATCCCTCACTTCCTGAATGGAGCGGATGGCATTCATTACAATCTGCACTTTTTATCAAAGTAATGAAGAAAGATAGTTCTTATTATCATTGGAAAGACAGTTGTTGTTATTATTATTATCATTATTATTAATGCTATTGTTATTTTTTATAAGCCACATTATCTGTTGTAGCAAAACACTTCTTTGGGATCAATTCATTTTCAGCTTAAATTCTTGGTAGGATTTGAGTCTAATAATTTATAAATGAGACGTTGGTATCTGTGGAAGATGACAAAACTCGGAGAACTGCATGTTCAAATTTATTTTATAACATTGTTTTCATCACAGTTCCGAAAAGTTATTTCTTGATTATTATAAAAACGATTGGATTGAATTTAAATAAAGAAGATGTTTATAATTGTCAATGAAATTTCTTTGCATGGTGATCAATGTGCTGAATTCAATTGTGAGAAATTAATTTAAATTGCAAAGTTTATTTCATATTTTTCTGGCAAATATATATAGACATGCTTTGGTTATGGAATGAGCAAGTATCATGGGAACCATGAGAAGAGAACAAATTTCATGATTCCTCACTGACATGTGAATCTGATTGGCATCATACTTTGAAACAAGATTTTAAAAAAAGAAAAAGAAAAGAAAATAAAAGAAAGAAAAGATGTAGATAAAAAATCCTCACTCTGATTACTAATCTTACATCATAAATTACCATGCAAACAAAAAATAATCTACATCAACATGGTGGTTATAACATCAACATCTTTTTACTTCAACAAAGTATTTCAACATTTTAACAAGCACTAATAAGAACCTTAAACCCACAAGTTTTAAGTCTAAGCAGATCTTACATTTACATCAATTTAACAATGTGAGTATTTCATTCAACACAACCACAATGTCTTTGACCTGCATGTTATACAGTAATTGGAATGACAATTGTCAGCTTAGATTTCTCATATTCATTCATAGATTCTTTTCATTCATTTACTATTTCGCAAATTTTCTTAATAGCAATTATTGAAAGGCTGCCAACTTACCACATATTTAGTGTTGTAGTGAGTGTAGAGGACTCTCTCTCCCCAAGTTTGAAAAACATGTTCATGAATGGCTTCTAATCACTTGAAATGGGTCTAGTAAACTTATACTTGATTGCTAGTGATTTCACAACACACAATAATTGTACTGACTCATAAAAAGTTGTTATGGTTTGAAGAGAATTAAGAATGGGAGCCACCCAGAGGAAGAAAGTTTTTGTAATTGGAATGTCTGTCAACTTTGCTATTACTATCAGCATGAAGACATCATTCCCTGTATTTATGTGTTCTTAATTGTTACCTTGATATGCATTCACTCAAAATCTCCACAGGAGAAGCTATACACAACATAGAAGCAGCTCTCTATTATTGCCACTAAAGCCAGGGAATTCAAATGGAAAGCCTCAAGCCTCATGTAGGCTCATCTAAGTCCCTTGCATAGACCCTCTGCCTGTGTGTAGGCAAACAATAAAACTTCTGCCAGTGAAGAAAATGGTAAGAAAGGAGACGAGATTATTATTATTATTAGTTTTTAATGACAAGAAATCCACCAGGAGCATTAAGAATTCCTTCGCTGTAATATCTTTAATAGGTCGAAAGAAAGAAAAAGAAGACCCCGTTCTGGAGCAGGCAGAAGCTTGATGTTGATGATGACAGTAATGTGTAGCTAGCAGTGATGAACTAATCTGTTGCTCACATTTCTAAAAAGTACCAACTGTTCTCTCTTCACAACGAAAATTGGATAAGCACAACTGGTGTTCTCTTGCCGTCCGTCTCCCATGGTTTTCAGCTGCTTTCAGTGCATAAATTTTAGCCTGCTGCCTTCCCCACAACAGCGGCAGCAGAGACTGCATAAAGACGATGAAATCACACACTTGAAATCATTGGGTATTAGTGACAGACAAAGCTTGTATGTAACTCAAGGGGAAAATCGAGAGAGGTAGTATGCTAAACTTTGACTGTGCCCTCAGCAATTTGACACAAAAATGCAGCAACGTGTGCAACTTTTTCTAAACACTCAACACATGAATGGAATGAAACTTCTGAAACCTGCAGATTAAGTTTCCAAATATGTTCTATAGTTATGACCGGGGACCGCAGTAACTGGGAAACAAAGAAAGAGAGCGAATTAAAAGTAGAGAGTCAGAGTAAGAGAAATGTCCGGGCTTCCGACCCAAGTATGATGAGCTCATTTACTAGCATCGTAAACACTACCTTAATGGTTCGTCTCAGGCTCATTCAATGTAATCCTCGTGATCGGTGTCCACGCTTGGTCCCCAAATGCTTTGGACCATGTTATCATCGACTACAGGCACCGCATTGGCACAGGATAACCAGAGTCCTGGACACACACAGTGGGCCTCCTAAGGTTACACTGGAGGGAATTGATCTAGTGCCGTGACGGCGCTAGAAACCTGGTGAACTCTGAGTTCAAAACCGGTTCCTTATCATTAGACGTCAGCCACTGTCATTGTCTAGCTACTCTTCCCATCTAGTACTTGCAACTAGATTACTGACTGACATGTTACAGTTGAACGTAGCATTCTCTTGCTGTTTGTGCCTTGAATATGATCAGTGCAGCACCGTATTCTCGAGGTTTGTGCCATGATGAACCACTGACCCGCTTCTCTTAAGTGTAAGCAGCACCTTGTGGCCGCAAGCCTGGCCCGTGGGGTATTTCTAGCGCCTCTCCCACCTTCTCCTCTGCACTGCAGGTGGTCTTCTTCATCAAGTCTAATATCTAGGATCGATCGAAACTGCGACCACGTTCGTTCGTATCCTCCGCGAGTTGATTGTCCTGCAAAACTACCAGAGAGACGCCGGAAGTGTGCCTGCTCGTTTCTTTCTCCTTCACGGACATGTGAACGCTGCTGCGCGTGGGTGGTTCTGGTTCGTTTGGACAACGGGGTGCTACATATGCTTCCGTGCAGAAGTTGTTGCGATTGAGTTGTGTGCCTACATACTCAGATCAGAAGATACCAGTGCACCATCTGATATTCCCTCAGCTTCCTGCTTGGAGGGCGTCGAGAAGAAGGACCTGTTTGCAGTGCCTCATATATTGACAAGTAAATCTGGGGTCTAATTGTAAGCCGCTTAGATAGCACCGGCAGCAGAGTTTAAGCTTCTCAAGGTGTCTTATCGCGAACTTATAGCCGTGTTCGCTCGGCTCTATCAGCACGTAGGTCACTTCACACTAGACTCCTAATTGGTGAATATTTGCTGATTCTAGTCGTTCCCTCCTACTGTAATCCTGTTGTCTAGAGTGTTTGGCCTTTTACGGAAGCATGCTTTCTGCTGTCTGTCATGATAACTAGTAGAAAGTCGAGACTGTGGACCAGCATCACCAACCTTTGACGCGAGGGCATTCGATTGCTATTATTGCGCTTGAGTACCTGGTCAACTATCACTAGCTAAGAAACAATTACTCCTACACTGCATCAATGCCACTGCCTTTCATTATGCTCAGCGACATCTCAGAACTTTGGCTTGTTAGAAGGGATTGGATTTTACCAGCACAATTCAGCTCTCAGTAAGCTGTTGGGTCGCGAAGGAATCAGAAACGTTCTCTACTGTCTTGTTTATTCTCTTGGCGTATTGTCTTTTTTATAACTTCTGGCTGGATCCTCTCGACGTGAAGTGATCATCAATACTCAACACTCCTCTTGGCAAGCTATTGGCTTATTGTGGACCTACCGTTTACAGTCTTCATCGAAGTCCTAGCCGAAACCTACCTCCAATAGATAAGCCTTTCACTGAAAAAGGCCCGAGGCTTGTGTCATTCCTTGAAGTAGTCTGTCTATCTCCTCGGTTTCTGTGACCTTGACATGTGCGCTTCTTGTACACTGCAATATTCTGCACCACCGAAGCTTCGAATTCATGTAAGTTTCTTCATTTCAGTCTAGTAACCACGTGTGTACATTCCGCATGCCCAGTTATTAGAAGGGATGCAGCTGCCGTTGCAAGAGGATAGAGATCATGCGACTTGTCTAGACGAACAAGTGAGGCTTCAGCGACCCAGACCTTTTAAGGACTCCGAACTCGACTCTTGAATAATTCCGTACGTAGAACCCAACAGTAGCATATTCCAATACTTCTAATCAGACGCCTGAGGATTTGACAGGAAAACGCGCACACGTTGGCGCTTAAGTAAAAGCCGACTTTTAGTCAAAGTATATCGGTACCTAAACATACGAGAATGATAGAGAGTCAAGAGATTTAGAGTGAATATCAGTGTTTATGCTGGAGGAAAAACAACACATACTACACTTGTCATGGTTACTTTCAGGACGCTTTTAATCAGTGATCATTAGGTTATACAGGTGACATATACATGTACTCCTTAGAGTATCGACAAGAAATGGAGATTTCTACGTACAGGATTTCAGTAAACAGAATCACAGGCTAACGATTGCAGTTAGAAAACTAACAAGACTAATGTTTTTGTGGGGTCATCTCATTTCCATCCTTAAACGACTGGAAATTTGTCTGCTGCTAGCTGGAGGATAGAAAGCCTAGGCCAAGTATGATCTTCGGACCGTTATGGGGCGTTCGACGCAAGCTGTGTCTCCACCAGTGAGTAGTATTTCAGCATGTATGAATAAAATGAATAACTTTTATCTGACACTGAATTTACAGATACAAGGCAGTGTTCATTAATCGGGGATTTCATCAAATCAAGGGCTTTGGTGGAATTGCATTGACGACTGAGATATTGTGAGGTATTCACAATGGGTTCAAGTTACCATTACTATACCAAGCCGTTGCTCCCCGGCCGCGAAAATATTGTGGTGAGTTCTCAGAATCTTGCCGGGTATCAAGTTGAACTAGTTGTTTGGTAGATAAAAACGTGAGCACTTTCTACAATACTGCAGACCGTATCTAACAATCAGATCGGTTAGAAAAACCAATCAGGAAGATGCGGAGATTTTGAAGGATCCAACCATGCTCTCATATCGTTAGTTTTCATGAAATATGCAAGTATCACAAACATCTTCCTGTGCGTGCAAGCTAGAGTTTGAGCCTAATTAATCTGACATCGAACTTGGAATGTCTAAAGCGTCACATTTCAAAGGCTTTAGGTTCGTTGATTTGATCAGGATTCCAATCATAGATTACTGTGGTAGGGTAGCAGCTTCTGACACTGAAGGGTATCTAATCTTCACCTGCAGGCTTTCTCGTCTGGGAACATGGGCAGTTGTGACTGCGATGACTCTTCTCAAATATCTCGCCAACCTCTTCACCTCGACCAGCGATTTATCTTCAGAGCAGTGTTTCCGGGTGGATCAAGCGATGCTAGCACTGAATACGATGATGACGATGAAGGTGAATCTCACTGAGACTCTAATCGTCTTCTGGACTTGTGGTGCTTGCACAGCGGCTGATGAACTGGTCTCGGGCAACAGTTCACGGGCGGTTGTTTTCATCAACTTTTTTCAGATCGCTTCGGTTAGTTAACGTTTTGTGATACTTCGTCTGCTACTTTTGATCCGTTTTGTGGGGCTCAGGAGCAAGTCAGAAGCTAAGATTCACCAAGGCACAGTTGAGGCATCTCGAAGACACTTTCGAAAGGCTGCAACGGCCAAACGCTCATCAGAAGGCCACATTGGCTATGGAGTTGGGAGTTCAACCACGACAAGTGGAAGTATGGTTCCAAAATCGCAGAGCAAGAGGCAAAGCCAAGCGCACGGAGACTGACTGTGAGGTACTCCGGCAGCGTTGCCAGGACCTCATTGTGGAGAACCATCAGCTTAACTATCTCATTCAGGTAACCAGTTCAGCAACCAACTTATTGACTAATCAGAGGCCTCACATCAAGTGAGATATAGCCAAACGTTCCAACCCCACTTCTAGACGCAATCGACATAGTTACCCCGGCAGTCGCTGTGTCTCGCAGGTATGTGGTTCTGATAAACTATTTTTCTGGTCTGCAGTCAGAGAGAATGGGTTACGACAGTCACCACCTCATGGCGAACGGCAAATCCCCTTTGCAACTGCAGCTCGCTCTGTGCAACTCCTGTAAGAAAGTCCGAAGCTGATCGTCTCCGCCAGGGCATGCAGCTCCCTCCAGTGAGACGCATGGATCCGAAGCAGCCCGTCCAGACCCACACATACACACACACCTCACTGTGACAAAAAATATCGCCGGAGCCAATTATGCGCTACCAGCCAAGTGTCCACAATTAACGGTTCAATGACGATGCAACCGCATCAACGCGGCTCAACGGCGACCTCGATTTGTATCCACTAACATGATCATCGACTGTCTCCCCAATCCTGCAGGTCTCATCAGCTCCGATGACGATCTCGTAGCTATAATCAACGCTAGATTTTTGATCACCGTGAAATAGGGCTGCTCAAGAATCAAGGCCTAGTTTATAACCCCAGTTGTTAATCAATATACACGAAAATGCTCCACGATTCGGACCTCCACAAAAACCAGGATTAGTTTATACGGAATACACGTTGGCTAGCAATACAACTTACGTAATGTTTATCTGGAGCATAGAAACTCTTCTAGTTTTCATGACAATTTCTTGGAACCCAGTTTTGCTCATCCTGTAAGTAAACCTGTTAGCTTGTGTTATGGCCCCTTGTGCAGTCGATCCTTCAGTGATGGAACCCTCTTGTTTGTTTTGCATTTGTGTTTGAGCAAGGGTGAGGTTTTTCCATTTACAACTGCAGCATTTGTTTGAAGAGCTGCTGCCTTCTGATTTGCCCTTGAACATTCCACATGTGATGGACTTGTGTGCATGGGTCTTTGGAGCAGCTTCATAAATGTGTGTATAAAAATATATATTTATAACTTCAACAAGCCACCTATAGCATCGTTATTATAATCATATTTATAGTTTTTAAAATTGAGTACGTAAGATTGATACTCTTGCCAGTGACAATGATATGTTTCTTGGCTTACGCTTTCAACGGCAACAGCAAGCGTTTCTTTATGAGATATTTTAAAATTTTTAAGCCATTAATTGGTTTTTTCATGAATGAACAAATAACAAACCTAATGTGCTAACAAAGTGGGACATAAATTTTTGGCTTTTAATGTTATAACATAATCTAAAAAATGCAACACATTGATAAAGTAATATCTTGGTTACATTTTATTTATTTATTTGTATTTATCTATTTAAACATTTACAACTTTACCTTTATTTTTTCATTATCTCATAATAGTACTACCTCTTTCAAAATACTAATTACCTTTGGTTATATTAAGGTCTTACAAATTAATATTCCAGATTATTGTTTGAATTTTTAATTTGCCTTCAATTAGTAATCGATATAAGAATTGTTTTTAAAATCTATAAAAATAGTCTTTAGAATAAAAATCTTTAAAACTTATTAAAATATAATCAATTTATCTTTAGTTTTCAAACTTATGAGACTTTGGTAAGGTTCTAAAATTATATAAATTTAAAATTAAATCTTTGAAAGACAATTTAAATTGCTATAAATTTAAAATTAATATTTTTTTTATTGCCAATATATTTTTATATATATTTAAAAGGCTTCATAGCAAAGGTTTATTTTAAAAGCTTAATTGAGTAATTCTTTATTGTAATCTAAAAGAAAAATTTTATATTACCAATTTTACAAGAATTTTTGTAGTTCTAATTTTTTTTTTCCTAACTAAAACTAAAAAATATTATATAGTCATGGTATACTATAACTATATTTACTAAAAAAAAATGCATTTGATCTTTATAAAAATATGTATATATACATATATATATATATATATAAGGAGTTGTTAAAGCCACACCTTCCCTTGCCACCTCATTATTCATTCTTATCTCTTTGACCCAGTTCCTAGCTTCCATCTTCCATTCCAAATTCGTGTTCCCTCCATTGTTCTCCATTCTCAGCCCATCTCCACCTCACCTTAAGTTTTGAGTTATCTCCAATAACAACTTTATCCAAATTCTCAAATTTGAGGTATTTACTTGTTAAATTTTTATTTTTAGTTGGAATAAATATTTGTGGTAATATATATATATACATATATTAATTTTCTAAAATTTCTGATCAAAATTTTACTTTGTAAATATAAATAATTTTTTTTTTAAAAAAAAAATTAACAATACAAAATGTAAATATAAAATTGATATTTAATCATTAATTTTATAATTAAATTAAACCTCATTATTTTAATTATTTTTCTTAGTTGAAAATTTTAATTTTTTCTTTAATCTCTAAAAAAAATTAAAATATTTTTAAAAAAGAAAAAGAATTGTTTTTATCACAATAATCTTGCTTTTACTTTTTTTTTTATAAAAACAATTTATAACTAATATTTAGTATTTTTTAATTAATACACTTAAGAAATATTTAATTAATAAGATATAAAATATTATAATATTATTTTTTTCTATTGATGATTATCAAGTTTAACTTTAAGAAATCCAAAATAATTATATAACTTGTATTATTATTAAACTTTGTAGAAATTATTGATTTTTTTGAAATAAATAATAATTATAATAGAAAAAATATTTATTATACTTATATATTATTTATTATATAATATAATAAATATTAAATATAATAATTTATATTAATTCTTATATTTGTGATTTTTGTCTTTTAAATAATTAAAGTTTAATTTTTTATTCTAATATTTTTTTAATTTATTATTATCCTTTTTGAATCTTTTTTAGTTTTTAATTTCTATTCATTGTTTTAAAATGATTTGAATGTATTAATTGTTACATCTTATATATTATTTAATGATGAGATTTGATAGTAGGTATTATTTATATTTATTTTTTTATTTTTTTAATAATAAAACTTAATAATAGTTCTTTTTGTTATATTTGAGATTCAATTTTTGCATTTTTAAATTCCATTTCTATAGTTAAATGGCTCTATTTTAAATGCTAGTTTCTAAAGAAAGTTTATTTAATGTATAGTAGATTGTTCTATTATAACTATACTTTGCTTATTCTTAATAGTATATGTCACCTTCTTTTTTTAATATACTAAGTATTTGAATATTTATTAATTTTTTTAATACATATATATATATATATATATATATATATAAATAGTTTTTTTTTTATATTTTAAAAAATAGATATTTATTTAAACCAATTTTTTACCACTTTGTTTTAAAAAAAAATCGACAAAATAATTTTTTCAACTTAAAATCTCAATTTAATACAATCAAATTTAGGTATTCTAAAATTATTTTAAAAAATATTAGAAATCATTAATAAATTTAATTAGAAGAAATTTAATTTTTTATTATAAATGCATAGGTAAAGCAAATGTTGTAGCACCCCACTCTTGGCCAATGCTCAAAACAATTAAAAAATCATCACGATTGAGTTTTAGTCTAAGATATTAAATTTCTTTTTCTAATATATATATATATATATATATATATATGTATATATATTGAAATTATACTGTACTATATTCTAAGAAACTATATAAAATAATACTATATAAAGATTTAATAATTTTAAAGATAAATAATTTTAAGATACCAAAAATCTAACCTATTCATTGAATGTGTAAGACAAATATTTTTACTCAAAATTGAGTAATTAACTTAAATCTTTATAATATTTTTGTATTCAATTAAAAGTATTGAAAATTTACTTTAACATTCTTATGATTATTATTTTTATTATTATTTATACTATGTATATAAAAAAAATTGGCTCTTTTATCTTGTAATTAAATTTCTTATGTGCAGATTTTTTCTTTTTCTTTTTTTTTTCTTTAATTTTAACTGAGACTAATTTTTTTTGTAAATTGTATTGTAATTGTAAGTTACAGTCTTTAATATATTTAATTGATGGTACAAAGTCTTTAAACAAAGTTTATAAATAACTTATATATTATAAAAGATTAAAAATAACTAATAGTATATGTATTTTTTATTATCTTATAAAATTGATATCTTAATAATTAAAGTAAAAAATAATAATTATCTTAATTTATTTTACTTAGAATGTTAAAAAATATTAACCATATGATTATTTAAAAGTGAGCTCTACTTCTTTGGATTTCTTGAACTATTTTTTTGTTTTTTTACTATTAAACTTAGTTATTTCTCTTAAAATTTGAATATAATTAAATAAATAACTTATTATTTATATCATTATACAAGATTTTTATTTAATTAAAATTTTAATTAAAATTTTAAAATTTTAGCAAGATTTTATAATATTACAATTTATTTTTGTTTTAAAACCATGTTTATATGTTAGAAAATATATAGTATATTTTTTTACAAATTATTGTTTTTGAAAAAATTCTACATCTATACATTATTGAAATTTTATTTAGATTTGAGTTCTTCAAAAATAAAAATTATCTTTTTATCAAAAATCATAGAATTTTTAATTATAAATATAATATATATATATATATATATATATATATATATATATATATATATAATGTCAAGGACAAGAACATGATAAAGACAAATAAATAAGTGAGACTTCTCTCAAAGAAAGATGAAAAAATAGAAATAACTTGATATATATATTAAGAAAGAAACTGGAATAGCTATTGCCAAAAGCCAAAAAAACTAGAGACCCTTGAAACTAGATTGGAAGCAAGAAAGGACTTGACAAGAGTGAAGAAGGCTTCACTCTTGTCTCTATATATACTATCTAACTAGGGGCTACCTGGCGACGTTCTATAGGACCTCTAATATGTGTTGATTTTGTAGGACACATGCCTTGACTTATAAAGCAAGTTTTTCTACGTATGGGCCACATAGTTACCTTGGTCTTCAAGCTAACAACATGTGTGGCACATGGCCAACTTATTGTCCACGTTTCTATTTCCAAAAAGTCAATTAAAGACACCTATAAAGTCAAAGCAGCGTTTATGAAGCTTCTAAAAAGCTTCCATATCAAATACTATAGAATTAACTTACTTTTATATACTTTTACTTACTTCTACCTATTTATACATGTAATAATTGGCTTACATGTGTATGTCCTTGACATTACCCCTCCTTTTAGGGACAAGTTCCATGAGGAGCGATAATCATATGTTAAGAAAATCTATGATGCGACGAATTGTATTTGCCACATACTCTGATCTTTTTTTTCTTTGAAGATGATTGATAGGGCCTCTCAACCATCGGTAGTGTCTCATACCAGGGCAGAAAGATCATCCAGTTATTTGATCATTATTGAGGCCTTCATAACTTCCTTCGAATAAAACATTTGAAACACCATCAGGAATTGTTCCTACGTCTAGTAAAATCACCAAACATTGAGAGTCCCTTCCAAGGTCATGATACCAAACGTGTTTTATTTTGCCATCTATTCGAAGAACATGTCATTCTTAAAGAACTTCATCTTGATTGCATCATCTTGAAGATTGTAACAATCATAATGTCTCGTCCGGTAGGTTAGCAAACAAAGGCTCTTGAGTCGAATCTGTTGGTTGTTGGTTCTCCACCTCTTGAGCGTCACAACTACAAAGAAGCTACAAACAAGGATTGAAAGTAGAATGTTATCTGGCCTAGATCTTGTTTCTTTTATAAAAAAGGTTTTCATCTTGATTTTGATGGATGTCGTCGATGAAAAGCCTCCACCGCCTTTCCTGCATTTA